CCCAGACAGCACACAACATCCATTGGACATCCAGACTTGGTTTCAATCTGGTCCATACGTCCATGGATTTAGTACGAATGTTTTAAAAACGTACGTTATTCAACGTATAAAGTATGTTTACATTTGAACATTTAAAAAATGTTTATCTCATGCAAAAAATTTTCTAAGTCTGCTTGTGACGTATTGCTTTCGTTGACTTGCGAGGTGAAAATTTTTTTATGATCGCACGAGGAGTTTTACTTTTGTTATCTCCGGTAATGCGAAATATTATTAAATTAAAGCTTAATTCAGATATGCAACAAGCGACAAGCAACAATAGCTTGCTGCTCGCAATCATAATAGTTAGGAATCATTTTGCTTTCAGTGTGCAAATTTGTCTGGATTGTGGTCAAAAATTTATTTAATATATTAATTTAGTCCAGTTTTAGTCCATTGCATCCTAAAATGGACGTTTTTAAGAAGTCCAAAATGGTAACACTGGATATTTTTAAAACGTTTTTAAAATATCCATGGATCTAATCTGGATGTTTTTAATATGTCCAAACGTCCAACATGTACGTTTTAAATACATTTTTTAAACATTACTGTGCTGTCTGGGCACTTGGCGCCTTTTTTTCCTTTTTTTAAAAAGGTAATTTTATTGATATAGGTATACAATATTCCTTTTTTGTTCGTTTTTTAAATTATCTTTATGAACTTTGATAAATTTATTGAGTTTGTTTAAGCTGTAATTAGAAACTTTTTGATCAATATTTTTCTGCAATAAGTTGTTGAATTTATTGGCTGTCTCTTTTATGTATGGAACACAAAACCATTTACATTTATCGTTTTGTTGTATTTCTTGCATGCTCTCATTCCTGTCGGAATTTAACTTAACTTTATTGAACTTATCTATTAACTATTTGATTCTTTTATTGGTAAATGTGTCGATGAGGGGACCCCCCTCCAATGACTTTGACCTTGACATATGTTGTCAAGGTCATGACCCTGAGTAACCTCCAACAGGTTTTAGCCGTCGCTCGTCCTTCGTTAAAAAGTTATTAACAATCATACTTTTAAAATAAACGTATTATTTCTGCTATACATGTATGATATGAAGTACTAATCTACACCTTTTCCTGTTCAGAAACGTTGAACTTTCCACGCGAAGTAACTTTCACCCCCCCCCCCTGCACAGAGGCACACGACTTCTACGATTGTACTATTGCTGTGATTGTACTATCGAGGCAGACCTCTGTGACGGTGTGGGTGCGGGGGGGTGGCCGAAGGCCACCTCCTTGCACCCGTCCGTCCGTCCGTGTGTGTGTGTGTGTGTGTGTGTGTGTGTGTGTGTGTACTGCGACTTCCTTTGGATAAACTTCCGAAAATGTTATATTGATATATATTTGTTTTGAGTTTTTCAGTCGTTGTGAATAGTTTCGATCGATATTTCAATTAGTCAGTCAGATTACCTCGACGCAAGTAAGATACTTTACAAACGTTAAAAATGCATTTGCATGAATTTATTAATCTAACTTACGATGTTCCATTCGTTATATAACGATTATGAGTCCATTACTTGATATTTTACACACACACACACACACACACACACACACACACGCGCGCGCACACACACACACACGGGCGAGTGCAAGGGGGCGGCCTTCGGCCACCCCCCCGCACCCACACCGTCACAGAGGTCTGCCCCGACAGTACAATCACAGCAATAGTACAATCGTAGAAGTCGTGTGCCCCTGTGCGGGGGAAGGAGGTGAAAGTTACTTCGCGTGGAAAATTCAACGTTTCTGAACAGGGAAAGGTGTAGAATAGTACTTCATATCATACATGTATAGCATACGTTACAACTATGATTGTTAATAACTTTTTAACGAAGGACGAGTGTCAGCTAAAACCTGTTGAGGGTTACTCAGGGTCATGACTTTGACAATATATGTCAAGGTCAAAGTCATTGGAGGGAGGTCCCCTGATTGAGACATTTACTATTTTAAAACTATAATTGTTAATAACTTTTTAACGAAGGGCGAGCGACGGCTAGTTGTTAAGGCAAAGTTACTCAGAATCATGACCTTGATAACATATGTCAAGGTGAAAGTCATTGGAGGGGGGTCCCCTCATCGACACATTTACCTTTTTATTGTAAAATTTTGGATGAGAAAGATAAAACACTTTATCTACCATATTAAATATAATACCTCTTTTTTGGGAAGTTGGATGTTGAGAAAAGTAGTTCAGAAATCTGCCAGAAAACGTCGGTTTCTGGTACCAGTCAAAAATAAGAGATTTATAATAATGGTCAAATCTAAAAAGTTAATCGAGTTACTGCCCACTTCTAGAGTGAATTGTAATCTATCATGATATGAATTGAATTTCTTAGTTATATTTTCAATTTCTGAGTTAAGAATGCATAAAGTAATGTCATCTACATATCTATAGTAAATCTGTATTTCATATTCTCTAATCTCTCAATCACCCAACCTTTCAATTCGCTCATCACGAAATTCGCAATCACAGGTGAAATCGGTGAGCCCATCGGTGTACCATAATTTTGTTTGTAATATTGATTGTCAAAAGTAAGAAAGGAAAGTTCAAAATTATTTTGACCGCTTTTAGAAATTCTTTTTTTGGTAAATTATACTTTTTATTAATATAATTCCATCTACTTGATAAAGCATCTATTGCTAATTTGTGTGGTATATTAGTAAACAAAGATACAACATCTAACAAAATCAAGCTGTAATTTTGTCTAATTTTTACATCTTTCACTTTTTCAACTAATTCTAAGCTATTTTCTATAGTATTAGGAATCTTCGCAATACTTTCGACAATCAATTTGTGTAAATTCGTCGCTAAGTTATATAATGTACTGTCTATCGATGATATTATGATTCTAAATGGACAATCCTTTTTGTGTATTTTCGGTAAAGCATATGCTCTTGGTAAATTACCGTCACTGCAATATAATTTTTTGTATAAACCTTCTGTAATGTATTTTGATTTTTTCCATCTTGTTAGCATAACTTTCAGTCTTGTATTTATCTTGCTAGTAGGGCCTCTATCTATTTTTTCATATGTATTAGAATCATTTATCATTGTTTTAACTTTTTCTATATATGTATATTTATTTAATGCTACTGTAATATTTCCTTTATCTGCTCTAGTAAATATTATATTAGGATTTTGAGTAAAAAATTGTTTTGTTAATGGAATTATTTTCTGAAGTTTATTATATAAATAGTCCTTTTTTTGTTTAATATACAGTAATCCATTAATAATTGATACAGACCGATTTCTAATTGTATTATGAACTGAGGTTTGTAATTTTTTTATGTCGAATTCTAAGTTTTTTTATAAATTCTATGATAAATTTTATATTAAATTTTGAAGAAAGAGAAAAATTATCTCCTAATTGTAACAAACATTGTATGTTTTTTTGGTATATGTATTGAAGTTAAATTCATGAACCATATTTCTTCTTGAATTGATCTCTGCATGGCCAACCGACTTTTCATCGGCAGCACGCGATTCCCGCACAAGGACATTCATAAATATACCTGGCAAGCACCAGACGGAGTAACACGTAACCAGATCGACCACGTGCTAATTGACAAGAAACACCTGAAGTCTCTTCTAGATGTTCGAACAATGCGTAGTGCGGACATGTATAGCGACCATAAGCTAGTCGTGGCAAAAATACGCATAAGAACAATGAATATAATAACAACAAGAACAAAACAAAAGAAATTTAATATCGAAAAATTCAAGAATAAAGGCGAACGTCGGAACTTCTGTGAAACTGTAACAGCCAAAGTTAATAATATCAATCCTACAATAAGTGCGAAGGAAAAATGGGAATTAGTGCAAAAAGCATACGTAGAATCCGCAAATGAAGTCATCGGGATCAAAAACAGTACCCGTAAAATGTGGATCACGAATGAAACCTGGGAATTAATCGAACAAAGAAGAACATTAAATCAGCAACTAAACCAGGTCCGAAGTGATGTAACCCTTGCAAGATATAACAACATAGAAAAACAAATTAAGAAAATGGCAAGAAGAGATCGTCGTAAATTCGAAGAAAACATCATCAATGACGCTGAAGTGGCGGCGGAACAAAAGGACGTGCGCTAAACATACCAATGTATCAGGAGGATCACCGGCCATTTTACAAGCATTCCACAAATTAAGAACAGCGATGGCCATATTCTCACTACGGAACAACAACAACTTAATCGATGGGTAGAATTCTTTAAACACGACGACCCAACAATAGATAACTGCGACATAGACTATACAACATCATCTCGTATCAGCACAAAGTCACCATCAGTTGCTGAAATCAGATTAGCAATAAAGAAACTTAAGAACAACAAAGCCGCAGGTAGTGACGGCATCGCACCGGAATTACTTAAAACTGATCCATCATTTGCGGCGGAAACACTTGTCCCCATTATAACAGAAGTATTGGACACACAGGCAGCATCCCGGCGAAATGGAAACAAGGAATAATCATCACAATTCCAAAGAAAGGTGATCTCCGTGGATGTAAGAACTGGCGAGGAATAACCCTACTGAACACGATTACGAAGATCTAGCGTCAATCATCTGCGAGAAAATGACAGCGCACGTCAACGAAAAATTGAGAAAAGAACAAGCAGGATTCCGCCCGGGACACAGCTGCATAGATCATATAAGCAGCCTTCGAATTATAGTGGAGCAAGCAGCAGAATTCAACTCACCACTGTATCTGACTTTCGTGGACTTCGAAAGAGCATTTGACACCGTGACTTGGCCGGCTATATGGAAAACACTAGAAAAATTTGAAAAACCAGCCCAAATAACAAGATTAATAAAAGAATTATATGATAACGCGGAATACGGTGTTCTCTTCAAAACTGAGCCCCTCCTTCCAAATCAAAAGAGATGTACGCCAAGGCTGCATTCTATCACCGATGCTATTCTTAATGGTACTGGATACGGTGATGGAAAAATGCAATCAAGAAATGACAGGCGGAATACAGTGGCTGCTGACTCGCTGACTTGACGATCTCGACTATGCGGACGACATCGTGTTACTATCTCATACACACAAAGATGCACAGGGAAGAATTTCAGCACTTCAAAGATACGCTGCAGAAGTTGGACTAAAGATCAATACCAACAAAACAAAAATAATGCGTATTGGAACAAACATAAGCACACCTATTTCCATTGAAGGACGCACAATCGAAAAAATCAACGACTTTGTATACCTTGTTTGCGTAATTGCCAAAGACGGAGGAACCAACATCGATGTTAGCAAAAGAATAAACAAGGCCCGACAAGCCTTCTTCAGACTTAATAAAATATGGAGAAGCTCAAAGATGTCTAACATACATAAGCTTCGTTTATTCAATGCTTGCATCAAATCTGTGCTGCTATACGGGTGCGAGACCTGGAAAAACACAGATGGACTGATAAACAAACTTCAGGTCTTCGTGAACAAATGTCTGCGACGAATTCTGAGACTGTTCTGGCCAAACTTGCCAACTAATGAAGAACTACTGCGCGCCTCCAAGCAAGAAAAAATAGGCACTGAAATCCGCCGCAGAAAATGGAAATGGATCGGCCATACTCTAAGAAAAGATCCGCATAACATAGCTCGCATGGCTATGGAATACAATCCGCAAGGAAAGCGCAAAAGAGGGAGACCTGCCATGTCTTGGAGGAGAACAATAGATAATGAAATTAAATCTATTGGAAAATGCTGGGCAGAAATAAAAACGATTGCCCAAAATAGAGTAAGATGGAGGAGACTCGTAGACGTCGTATGCTCCACATAAAGGAGATAAAAGGAGTGATGATAATGATTAGATATGGATCCTTCCTACAAAAAGAGGTTGATATCCGAAATGGTTTATATTAAAAAACAGACACATGGCATAAATAAACAAAACGATACGGAGTCATTGCCCGATGTGTACACAAATTTGATACAGTCCTTCTCTGCCTCTTAGACTGTTTTCAGTTGGTTTTTGCCTCTTATAAGGAATTTATTTCTTCATTCCGTTTCTCGACATTAACATAAGAAGTCGATAAAGCTGTAAATTTTATTATATCTGAATTGTTATAACATTTTATCATTGACGACATTACATTTTTCACGTCATGGATTTTTACATTATTGACATTAGTTATTACACAATTTTTAATAAGGTAACTATCTTTTAACACTTGTTTAACATGCTATTTAAGATTCTTATGACAAATTATATAAATTTTATTAGATTGAATTCACTGTATTGGATTAACTTTTACAAGATGGACTACAATTTCAATATGCGAACAATATCCTGACATTATAATTAGCGACACAGAAATTTTATAATTTATTTATGTTTGTTACACTGAAGATGACCTGATCGGAGTCGAAACGTCTGTATTAACGTTTAAATTTTATATTATACTTAATTTGAAAAATTTTTCTTGCGTTTTGTATTTGGCTCATTGCCCTTATTATTACTCATATTGTTTTATACTTATTGGGCCTTATTTTATATTATTTATTGTTATAGTTTACTTTTGACAAATTAGCAAAATAATCTAGGTATGTGTTTGATATCATTAATTTCTCTACTTCTTTCCTTTTGTGATTATAATTAATTATTTTTTTATTAATATTTTCATAATCTTTAATGAACTGTTTATTAATTTTCTTCTCTTGTGTTGAAAAAAACTTATCTAAAATATTACAAGGAATTCCACGAGAAGCTATACGAGTAAAATGGATACATTTATTTTTTGAAAAATTTAATGATTTATATGTGTCATTTAATTCTATTTTTAAAATTCGTTTAGTGTAATTACCAAGAACATGTCTTAATTTATTTTTTGATGAGAGTTCTAGTTTTAATCTATTTGAGTATTTCAATATAAAATATAAATATGGAGGTACTATATTCTTATTTATGCAAGATCTTAGAAATTTTTTGCGAATGATGTTTTTATAAGTAAGTTTATAAAATTTAATCCAATCTTTTAATATTTTCATATAATAACCAAAAATCTGAAAAATAAAATTAAAAAATAAAGTTTGTTGATAATGCATTTTTTCAGCTTTGCGTAAAATAATTAAAATTTAAAAAACTTTAAATATTAATATTAATTTAGACTACAATATTATAACCAATAAGCTGAAGAACTTCATTGGCCAAGGGTTGTGCTTATTCTTGAACATCTTAATCTCAATTGAAACATGAATATACCGGGTGGTCCACTTAAATCCTACATCTTGAGTATTTCGTTTATTTTTGACAATACGAAAAAATGTTTCAAATAAAAATGGAACGGTGTCGAGGGGGACACGTTTCAGTCACATTGTTTTTTTTCTAAGTGGAGGCGCTAAAAAGATATGAAGGTCACCTCCACTTTTTTAAATGGAATTATGTAATTTTTTTTAGATAACGTGATTCCTCTAATTATTTTGCATATAAAAGTATTAAGGTAGAGATACCAAAAAACCAATAGTTTTCGAGATATTTTATTACACTTTATTCTGATACATATTGACACAAAATGTTAAATAACTCGTAAACTGTTGACTTTTTGATATCGTACCTTAATACTTTTGTGAATAGAATAATAAGATAAATCAAATGGTATAAAGAAAACACATAGTTGCTTTAAAAAAAAAATGTATGCAAAATGGATAATTTTTTAAATATGCAACTATGTGTTTTCTTTACACCATTTGATTTATCTCATTATTCTGTTCACAAAAGTATTAAGGTACGATAATCAAAAAGTCAACAGTTTTCGAGTTATTTAACATTTTGTGTCAAAATGTATCAAAATAAAGTGTAAAATATCCCGAAAATTATTGGTTTTTTGGTATCTCTACCTTAATACTTTTATATGCAAAATGGTTAGAGGAATCACGTTATCTAAAAAAATTACATAATTCCATTTAAAAAAGTGGAGGTGACCTTCATATCTTTTTAGCGCCTCCACTTAGAAAAAAAACAATATGACTAAAACGTGTCCCCCTCGACACCGTTCCATTTTTATTTGAAACATTTTTTCGTATTGTCAAAAATAAACGAAATATTCAAGATGTATTAGTATTTAAGTGGACCACCCGGTATAATATCATCGCTGAAGATGGCAAGAAACTATTGCCGAAACGTCCGGAATTGTTCTTAATCGTTCGAAATCAAATTAATATTGTATATTGTTAAATTATAACCAACACATTGACTCTATTTGCCTGTATACCAATGTATATTATATGAATACATAGGTTTTATATATTGACTACAAATAATTTCTCAGTATGTTGTTCCGAAATTTTGTTCGCGAGAATGAGAGAGTCCTTTAATAACAAATCGCTGCGAGTGACTTTTTTTTTCGTTAAAAATGCATTTATAAATATATTCAAAATAAAAAATTGATAACGTTCGTGTACGTAAATTCAGATAATTAAATAGAGATAATAAAGTTATATTATTTATGTTTCAATGTCATTTTTTTCGATGGATATAAAGCACGCATGTGGTAAAAACATATATCAACGTATAATGTAAATTTTATATCAAAGTATCCATTAACGTTGGGGTCACATGATGATAACATTAATATCAACCAATAGAGCGATGCACGTTCTAATATGACAAAGTAATTCCAAAATGCTAGACGTGGAAAATTATAAAACTCATTCGTCGAAATTAACCACAATATATGCAAAAGTATAAAAAAATATGAACGTATATACACTCTATTTTTTCATGTAACGTTAAGATAACTTATGAAATATTATGTTGTACAAACTATTGCTCTATGTAGGTACAATAAAGAAACAAATTATTATTTTTATTTTTTGTCGAGTTTTCATCAATTGCGATCGTTTCTTTTGTTAATTTACCAGTAAAACAATATTTATCTATTACTATATCTTTTGTTTTCCTCTAGAAATTACGTTTAATATTAAAAACGGATAAATTAATTATTTCCCTTTTAATTAAGAGAGAGTTATACATTTCTTATAATTGAAATAGCCACGCGGTACAGAAGATTTTTTCTACACTTTGAATTTAAACAAGGATGGCAGCAATTCACTATAATCGATGAAGAGTTAAAAGATCGAAGGTAAATTGTTACGTTCATGTACTAGCTGACGTTGACATTATAAATGAATCCAAATGATTAATTACGTGAACATGTATCGAATAAGAGATCAAATTGTATAATAACAATACAAGGCTATGTAATAAACTGTAGTATATATATAGTAAATAATTAACTTGGAAAGAAAAAGGGGCACTAGGAGTTAGGCGCAGATAACTTTACGCAAACGCTGATATTTATCAAGTAAACTTATTTAATACAAAAATTATTCTTACATGTTTTGGCTCATTTTTGAGCCTTCTTCAGAGACAATGAAAAGTTACTTAAATAAAATATAATTTAAAATTGGCAAAAGGATTAAAAGATGTTTAAACACCGCAAGCTCCCCCACAACCGAAAAATAAAATCAGATGACAATTTTATTTTAAAGAACACAATAATATGCACGATAAAAGCAGAAAAGAAAAATTAATAAATAGAATGCTGAAATTCAGGGAAATAATTTCCCAAAATTTCTTAGAAAACTGATAATTTCGAAATTGGATTTATCATAATTACAATTATTTTACCGGGAGCGGGGAGGCTCATCATGTTCACAATGATACTGTATCGCAAACACTCTCAAAACCAGTTTTCAGAGTAATTTAGGCCAGTTAGTCTCACAATCAGACACAATGAGTCACAACCAATTGTTGGACGGTATTAAATGCCTTTGTTAAGTTGTAGAGAACTGGCTCTCGACAATGTCACAAATCGCCAGGCTCGTTCTTGTGTGGAATTGTCAAGATCTCTCGACAAAGTCTAATTACAAGGAAATGGGCGTTGCGATGAATTTGCATAAATTGTCACGAACACGATTAATCGTTCGTTTCCCGAGCGCCATGGCAAGTAACGTCGTGATAACAGTCACGCGCGTTTAAATCCGGAAATCCCTCGGATAATTTAATGCGTTGACATTGTCACTCTGGGAAAATTCAACGAGGTTTTGCGCCGCTTTTCGTATGATCGTGAAATTGCCATTGGTATCGGCCACCGATACATTAAGAGCAAAAGAATTTTGATACACGAAACGATTGAATTTGTGTCTTAATGTAATTACATTAAGTACATAGCGCGGGATTTTCTAAAGACTGGAAAAGACGTAAAAAAAATTAACGAAACGAATGTATTGGGCCAAAAAACAAGCTTTTAAGCTTGTAAAGCAATTTATCAAGCGACGCGGTAGCGTCGCGACGCCAAGTGCATAAAATAAAAATATAACCGTTTGACATGATGACATGATACTTGATGTGTGTATATGTTCATGCGATGTCAAATTCACGACGCTATCACTAGCTTTATCTCGAGTTTTCACATCTTGAAACTTTAGATTAAAATTACTCAGAATTTAAAAGCAGAATCAAAAATCTAAAAACACTTTTATTATATAACGTCATCGGTATCTTTCGATTGCGACCAGTCCGAATAAAATTGGTGCAGCCGATACCGAGATCTAGAGACCGAGTCCCGAAAAGGGTACGTTTCAGTTATGTTCAGACGTACGTGTGACACATACATATATTTTTCAATCGTACGTGTGACACATACATGTAAAGCGTTTTGTCCATTAGGCTGCTGTTCACAATGTCTACATTCGAAAAACAGTCACATGTGTAATAACATACATATGTGTATAACACATGTATGTACATATGTAATAATAATAACACATGTATGTTAAATAATAATAAATAAATTTTTTAGCATGTATACATTCATCTCGCTATAAATCGTTGTGTAAGGGAAAAAATCAATCATGAAATGTTGTTTTGACGTTGCAAAATAAAGAAGTTTTACAAAGCTCTTTCATTGTTGCTTCTTCGTTCTAATCCCATTTATTTTGAGAATTGCATGAGCTGTGCAAGAGGACCGAATAAATAATCATCTTTACGCGTTAATTATTGTTGTGGATCGAAGATCGAAAGCAAAAGTAATTTCTAAAAGACTAAGCGAATTTTTCAGCGAGTGTATAGTCAATACTTGTAACGTATGAGAGCTGATATTTTGATACACGAAACATTGAGAAATGGAACAAATTCATGCGATTTACTACTGTTATGTATGAATATGTTTTTCTGTAAACCGTAATCGTAATATTTCGTTTAGCTATAGTTACTTATTTCGTACGAACGCACTTATGTAAAACGCGCTTTATATCTCGACCAATCACGAGCAAGCTTCCGTCGAACACACTCTCTATCGTTCGTAGTCCGTACTTCTGTACCTTCCGTTCCCGCTACTTCTTGTAACGATCGCACACAACAACCGTGCCTGAATAAAGTGCTCATTAACATTATCATATTTTGCATTGTCTCACCGAACCTCACACGCTTAACCCACACACATACACAAAAGTGGTGTCAGAAGTGTTGAAAGAAAGCAACATTCACAACGCGAAAAAGCACGTGCAGTACAAAACTGAAGTTAAGTTTCGAACGGACGAAGTCGTACATCGTATAAGGATGGATATTCCGCAAGAGCTTTTACAGGCGATGACGAGCATGCTTACTAGTGCATTGCAAGCATCCGCAGCTAACATAACCGCAGGTAATTCAACGAATTCGACGGAAACACCATCGTTGATTCGTACAAAGATACCGACATTCTCAATGACTGAATACCGAACTTCGGAAGGAACAACGGTACAAGATTATTTTAAACGTTTCGATTGGGCTCTTCAATTAAGTAAGATTACAAATGATCTATACGCTAATTACGCACGTGTACACATGGGCGCAGAACTAAATAACGCTCTAAAATTTCTAATCTGCCCGCGTCAACCAGAAGATTTAACATACGATGAAATACGCTTGACACTTATTAATCATTTTGATCGTACAAAAAACAAATACGCAGAAAGCATTAAGTTCCGTCGCATAGTACAGCAAAAAGGTGAGACAATTGCTAATTTCTCATTACGTTTGAAACAGGGTGCTGCCTATTGTGAGTACGGCGATTTTTTAGACAGGTTGCTGATCGAACAACTCCTACACGGTCTCGAATCGCGAGAGATGTGCGATGAAATTATTTCAAAAAAGCCAAACACATTTGCTGAGGCATACGAGATCGCTCAAACGCTCGAGGCTACACGTTACACAGCCGAAGAGGTTAAAACCACAGGATCTTTAGTATCTCCAGAACAAACCAACAAATTAGGTTATGATTCACTGAAAAAGAAACAAGGAAAGAAGACAATGCGTTCAAGATCACAATCGCGCAATCGAAGGCAACAACAAAATTCTCAGGAGACAGAACGCAAAGGAAAGCGTTTCAACAATAATTTCTCGGCATGTAAAGGATGTGGAAATCGGCATCAGCGCAGTCAATGTCCATTTCGCGAAGCAATTTGTCACAATTGTGAAAAGAAAGGCCACATCGCAAAAGTATGTCAATCGGAGAAAAAACAACGATCCATCGAACAGGTAACAGCGACAACACAGTCAACAGCGCAACCAGCTGAACGAGTTGATATAGTATATCAATTAAGTAAAGTCCACGAAATTAACGCAATTAATCCGCTACGTAAGCAAATTCTTAACGTTCTAATTGACGGTTGCAATACACAAATGGAATTGGATACTGGAGCACCTTGCAGTATTATTAGTAAGGAAAAATTACAAGCCATCAAACCAGGATCCATATTGCAAAATACTAATAGGCGATTTGTAAGCTACACAGGTCACCATATTAAATGCATTGGCTCAACTCCTGTTAACGTAACAGTGGGGACAACTACGAAGAAAATGGATCTTTACGTTGTCGATGGTCATTTTGATACTCTTTTTGGACGCGAATGGATTACACAATTCGCTAGAGATATTAATTTCGTCGAGCTATTTACAAACGAGATCCATACGTTGACTACTACCGTACCTTGCCTTTCTACGAAGCAGAAAGAACAAATGGATCATTTATTATCTAATTACCAAGATGTATTTAGCGACATTGCTGGTACACTGAAAGGACCGCCAGCCACAGTGCATCTGAAACCAGAAACATCACCGATATTCGTTCGAGCACGAGAAGTGCCGCTAGCATTACGCGACGCTTATGCGAAAGAAATTGAAGCTAAAATCGCATCAGGTTTTTATGAGAAGGTGCAACATTCGGAATGGGCATCGCCCACACACGTCGTTGTCAAGAAGAATGGGAAGCTGCGTATCACTGGAAATTACAAACCCACCTTGAATCCTCGCATGATTATAGATGAACATCCAATACCAAGGATTGAGCATTTGTTCAGTCAAATGAAGAATGCGAAACTCTTTTGTCATCTGGACATTACCGACGCATACACACATCTACCGGTCGACGAAAAATTTAAAGAAGTTCTAACACTGAATACACCGACCCATGGGTTAATCCGTCCTAAACGAGCAGTTTACGGTGCAGCGAATATTCCCGCGATTTGGCAGCGTAGAATGGAAACAGTCCTCCAAGGTATTCCAAATGTATTTAATTTTTATGACGATGTTTTAATCTTTGCAGATAATTTCGAGAACTTGATGTTAACCTTGGAAACCGCTCTAGAGCGAATGAGATCACACGGTCTTCGACTTAATCGAACTAAATGTACATTTGCCTCATCATCCGTAGAATTCTTAGGTCATAAAATAGACGGTGCAGGCGTGCACAAATCCGATAAACACGTCGAGGCGGTACGGGACGCGCCATTACCTCGTACTCCAGAAGAATTACAACTCTTTTTAGGTAAAGCGACTTATTATAATTCATTTATTCCGGATCTTGCGACTAGAAGTCGTCCACTTCGAGATATGCTTCTCACTACTCCATTTAAATGGACATCAGCAGGCGAAACAGCGTATAAGGATATTAAGAAGGCTCTAATTTCTCCACAAGTTCTAATGTGTTACGATCCTTCACTTCCGTTAGTCCTAGCAACGGACGCTAGCAAAATAGGGTTAGGCGCAGTTCTCTCACACAAATTGAGTAACGGACAAGAACGTCCGATAGCATACGCGAGTCGTACACTTAGTCACACTGAACAACGTTATCCGCAGATAGACAAGGAAGCGTTAGCCATCATCTGGGCCGTACAAAAATTCTTTTACTACTTATACGCGCGACACTTCACTTTGTTCGTAGATAACAAACCGTTAACTCAGATCTTACATCCAGAAAAATCTCTCCCTATTCTTTGTATTAGTCGTATGGCCAATTACGCCGATTATCTTTCACACTTTAATTATACAGTAATATTTAAGCCGTCTAAATTGAATAGTAATGCAGATTATTGTTCTCGCTTGCCGCTATCAACCACGAACAACACAGTCTACAGACTTGAAATTGAAAAAGAGGAAGAAGCAATAGACGATGAATTCGATGAATTTGTTTTATGCCAAATTAGACAACTTCCAGTTCGTGCAGAACATATAGCTGAGGAGACACGCAAGGATCCACATTTGGGCAAGATCGTCAAAATCTTAGAAACTGGCCGAGACCTCCCACGAGCAGGCTACAAAGCCCCTGAAGCCAAGTATTCATTAACTGCTGATTGTTTGCTATTCGAACATCGGGTGGTAATACCAGCCTCGCTACAACCAGCAATATTAAACGACCTGCATACGGCACATGTAGGAATCGTTAAAATGAAGGGCATCGCTCGATCATTTGTATATTGGCCAGGGATTGATGCAGACATCGAGCGGGTTGCAAAATCTTGCGCGGAATGCGCCAAGCACGCTCATGCTCCTCCGAAATCCAGGAACCACCATTGGGAGTATCCTAAGGGGCCATGGGAACGCGTACATATTGATTACGCCGGACCCGTAGCAGGCGTGATGCTGCTTATCATCACAGACGCATATAGCAAATGGCTCGAGGTGAAAGTCACCAACTCTACGACTACTGCAGCGACAATCGCAATCCTAGACGAATTATTTTCAACTTATGGAGTTCCAGTTACCATAGTTTCAGACAACGGTCGCCAGTTTGTTTCCGCTGAGTTCGAAACGTTCTTACAAGTCAGCGGCGTCAAATATCATAAGCTTACAGCGCCGTATCATCCTTCGACAAACGGCCAAGCAGAACGATACGTACAAACCATCAAGAATGCTTTAAATACGATGTCTACTACTCAAGGGACCATACAACAGAACATAAACCGATTTCTGCAACAATACCGTAAGGCTCCACACGCGACAACAGGACAGCCTCCTGCTAAACTCTTCTTAGGTCGCAATATACGAACTCGGTTAGACTTGGTCCGACCTGATAGTATGTACACCAAAATGAAGGAGAAACAACTACAGCTTGATCCTTCATCTAGATCATTTAAACCGGGACAAACAATTTATTTCCTCTCGGGTAATCCTCGGATGGATAAATGGATTCCAGGCATAATCGTTACCAGGCTAGGAGATCTTCATTATGAAATAGAATACGCCAGTAAACGATTTAAGCGACATGTAGACCAGATTCGCGCATTCATCAGTAAGGAATCAGAATGTTCAACTGATCGCAATCTAACACAAACTGAAGAAACGCAACCTAGCGTACCCCGACGAGTTCATTTCTATGGAGATAAACCACAAGTCATCCCGAATGAAGCAGTGGGTTCTACGACTCCAAATCCACAGTCAAAGATGGTGAAGTTACCATCGACGCCAGCCCACTCAACAATCAGATCGCAAGAGTCGTCACCAGAACTATTTTTTACACCACCGGTTATACCACGTAGGTCGACTCGATCTCGTCATCCTCCTAATAGATATGTTCCAAGTTAATTCTGTTTTCTTTTGTAAGGAGGGAAGAATGTTATGTATGAATATGTTTTTCTGTAAACCGTAATCGTAATATTTCGTTTAGCTATAGTTACTTATTTCGTACGAACGCACTTATGTAAAACGCGCTTTATATCTCGACCAATCACGAGCAAGCTTCCGTCGAACACACTCTCTATCGTTCGTAGTCCGTACTTCTGTACCTTCCGTTCCCGCTACTTCTTGTAACGATCGCACACAACAACCGTGCCTGAATAAGGTGCTCATTAACATTATCATATTTTGCATTGTCTCACCGAACCTCACACGCTTAACCCACACACATACACAAAAACTACGTAAACATATAATGCTAAAACCCATTAACCGCTGAATGCACTGGAATTTTACCTCGAGTTCAGCGTTTATTTCTCGTATGGAACATATAAGGAAAAAAATCGAGAATACATGAATTTTATAGTTTCAAGGTCGCTCTTTCGAATGGCGATGAGAAAATTTTCAAAAAATTGCAATTTCCAATATTTTTTTTGCAAAAATATGTAAAAAATCATGATTTTCAGACTCATTTTTTTTCGTTTCTCATAAAATTTTTTGTCAAAACGCATTTGTATCGACATTTGTATCGCATTTGTATTATTCAAATAAGTCATAAACGTGCACCCGATGTGTCCACTAAAGGAATCCATCATACTTGATTTTTTTTTATTGTCTTATTAACAAAATGGCGGTCGATACGACGACATATTTATGCGTTTTTCAAAATTGCCCATCATCTAACATGAAAGTAATTCTATTTGAACAAAACTAATTAATCAGGGGTTTTTGGGGTCGCTGATTACGAATCTGATGTTAGTTTTATTAAATTCGAAATGACGGATCCAATATGGCGGACCCAAAATATTAAATATTCATCGATTTTTGTGGTTTTCAGTATCTTTATGGTTTTTCAGTCGCTGATTCCGAATTCATGATCAGATTTTTGAAATTAAAGATGGCGGACCCAATATGGCGGGCGAAAAGTATTAAATATTCATCGATTTTTGTGATTTTCAATATCCGCATGTTTTTTGGGTCGCTGATAACGAATTTGTGGTCAGATTTTCAAAATTCAAAATGGCGTCTTCAAAATAGCGGGCACCATCTCTAAAATTTCAAATTTGGGGGTCGAGATGATCAGATCTCAGTAACGGCATAAAAATGCTTTCATTTTTTTTCTATATGCCCCACGAGCGGAGATATCGCGACGCAAAGTCCAGATCTGTGAATTTTCACGTTTATAAAATTAAGATACGTCATCGTCGCCGACCAAAGAAATGTACGTCTCGTTTTTTCGATAATAGAGGGCCTTTGACTTTATGTATTATCTCACTCTATCTATCATCTCACTCTATCTATCTATATCTAACCAGCAGACTAGTGTTGCATGCTGTATCACATATGATGCGCGCGCAATTTAACCCTTATAATTAAAAATATTTTTCAATATACATATAATATAAAATATTTATTTCGATATTATATAAATATAAAAATTGAAATATTGAAATATAGAGATATGTACGTCGTCGAGAAAGTATAAGTGTCTACGTGTTTGATTTCGAGGAAGTGAGAGTCTAGGTGTTCGCCTTCGAGGAAGTGAGTGTCTAGGTGTTCGCCTTTGACGAAGCGGGTGTCTACGTGTTCGTCTTCGAGGAAGTGAGTGTCTAGGTGTTCGCCGTCGAGTAAATGAATGTTTAGGTGTTCGCCGTCGAGGAAGTGAGTGTCTACGTGTTTGCCTTCGAAGAAGTGAGTGTCTAGGTGTCCGTCGTCGAGGAAATGGGTGTCTAGGTGTTTGTTTGTTTGTAAGAAACGTCGTCGTCGTCGTCGTCGTCGTCATTGTTGCCAGCTACAAAGTGAGGAAATACATTTTGGAATTTCTGGCGCAAGAGATAAATGTGGTCGCGAGAAAGGTATCTATAAATCACATCGATAGCATAGACGAACACGTGAGGTTAGAATAAATATCGACCGCTGCGAACGATCGTTAAAGTCAGATAAAGAGCCTCGGCAATACAAAGGATTAAGGTTAGGGAATCTATCACATCGATGGCACAGAATCGACGAACACGTAAGTGCAGAGGTTAGATATTTTCTGCTTTATTACACAAATCTTCTGCTGTAAATCCACTGTAAGAATACAAATTATTTTCTATATAATTATTTTCTTTTTACAGTATTTGTTTAGGTTACTTATTTACCGAGACACTACCGTATCTCCAGATCTGTCATTTATTTGTTTGGTAGATACCTTACTTAATTTGTATTCTCTATTCCTTATATAATTATAAGAATTGATTGTTTGTGATAGGAAAAGTCTGAATAGAAAAAAGGTATGGTTTTAAAATATGTTTGCCTTTTTTTTTCAGGACTTTCTCTTCAATAAACCTGAAGATAAAATACAGCGCAAAGAATCAATTCTCTTATAATAATAAAGATAAAACTTATTTGATATAGTTACTCAAAACATAAAATTACTTGAATTTAGTATTGAAATTTTTAAAACTTTAAATAATTATCTAATAATGAAATATATTAACATGGAAAGTAACTGATATATTATTGAAGGTGCCAGTTCAAAGTAAACATCCTTGTAGAAAAGTACTACTGAGCACTAGGAGTATTTTGAGGCACTACTGTACTACAGCACTACTCAGCACTACTGTACTACTACACCAGCGCAGTAGTGCTGTAGTAGTACAGTAGTGCTGTAGTAGTACAGTAGTGCTGAGTAGTGCTGTAGTACAGTAGTGCTGAGTAGTGCTGTAGTACAGTAGTGCCTCAAAATACTCCTAGTGATCAGTAGTACTTTTCTACAAGTGCATACATAAAGTATATATTCTTTTGTTGCATATATACGTAATAATGATTTAACATTGCTATTATAATGTAAATTGTAATAAGGCTCAATAAATTTAATAATAATTAACTAATAGAGAGAAACAGGGTTACGAGCCAATAAATTCTTTATAAACTTACTATTATAAACAACTAGTGTACAAGTGTTGTTACCTTCAATAATATATGAGTCATTTTTCATGATAATATGTACCATTTCATTATCCTTCAATAATAAAATGTATTACTTTAAAATAGTCAATTAGGTATAAGAATTCTTTTAAAATTAATATTGATCTTTTATGGTTTATTTTTAAAAAACTGTTATATATATATATACAGTTTAATCTCTCACCTAGAACACTATATTTTATTCAAGATTTTGGAGTGTAAGTTATAAGTAGTTTTCAATCAGTATTCTTTATAAGTATACATTTACAAATTATTCTTCTAATTAATAATTATTATCGTGAAGAAGGATTGTTCTGATAATCAATTTCGTAATAACATTATACCAAAAAAATCTATTACATATAATCAAATACGCCAATAAACGTAATTTTTGAAAAAAAGGTTGAAATTATTTAAATTATATTTATATATTTTCCAGGTACACAATTTAGATGTAATTGATCAAAATGGTATTCAATTGGGAAGAAGAAATACCTAAAACGATAATAATGTAAAGATATTAGAGAGATCTGAGTACATTGAAAGTTCTTGATGCCAGTGCTATAATCTTGGATGTGACTAATGCAAAGCTCGTCGACAATAATGTTGCCCTAAATAAAAGTACATTAAATTCTGAAGGTAATATGATGCAACCGACAATTATGACCTTAGAAAACAAACTGATATATTATTGAAGGAGCCAGTTCAAAGTGAACATTCATAAAATGTATATCCTTTTGTTGCATATATACGTAATAATGATTTAACAACACATGCACACTAGATGTTTATAATAGTAATGTTAAATCATTATTATTACGTATATATGCTGCAAAAGAATATAAACTTTATGTATGTTTACTTTGAAGTGGCACCTTCAATAATATATGAGTCATTTTTCATGGTAATATGTATAATAGTATTTTTTATATACATATTCATTTTCATTTCATTATCTTTCAATAATAATACAAAAAACTATTATAGTTTGATCTCTCACCTATAACACTATATTTGAGTCAAGATTTTGGAGAGTAAGTTAACAAGTTTTCAATCACGTATATCTTCATAAGTATACGTTTACAAATTATTATTCTAATTAATAATTAATATCGTGAAGAAGGATTGTTCTGAAAATCAATTTCGTAATCACATTATACCAATAAAATCTATTACATATAACCAATAATCAAATACGCTAATAAACGTAATAAGTGTTTTGGTATAATGTTATTAAGAAATTGATTAACAGAACAATCGTTCCTCACAATATTAATTATGAATTAGAATAATATTTTGAAAATGTATACTTATAAAGATACACGTGATTGGAAACTGTAACTCACACACATGTGCTTCAAAATTTTGAATCAAATTTCTAGGTGAGAGATCGAAATAACAGCTTCTTGTATTTCAAAAATGAATCACAAAAGATGAGTATTAATTTCAAAAGAATTCTTATGTGCTCCACAATCTTGAATCAAATATAGTGTTCTAGGTGAGAGATCCAAATAACAGTTTTTTATATTTCAAAACTGAATCACAAAAGATCAGTATTAATTTTAATAGAATTCTTACATCAGATAGTCTATTTTAACGTAATACATTTTGTTATTGAAAGATAATGAAATGGAAATTAATATATATATAAAAAATCTTGGCATACATAATGAGGTATTCAAGTACATGTTCCAGTTAGACTTATTGTTAGTCAAATCAGACATAAGTTCGGAACTGTTGGGTATTACTGAAGAGGAAGATAAGGGAACTGTCTTTTTTACCTTATTATTTTCTTAAACCTAATGACACATACCATTTGTACGCCAAGTTAAATTCTACCCTTCTTTCTCTCCG